TAAAATAAATTGCAGAATTATAAACATATATATTGTTACAAATTTATTTAATAAATTAGTATTTTACAAATCTTATTTACATGAATATATTTTATATTATAATTACTTTTTTTACAGTTTTCTAATTATTTTATTTTATTTTTTAATATGTATATTATTTTTTTATAAGAACTTATTTAAAAATGAAACTTGTTTTTGAATTTATTACTTATTATTTTATTTAAAATTTATGGATTGTTAGTATAGATTTGATAAGGTGTTATTTATTTTATAATAATAATATTTTTAACTATAATATTACAATTTTGATTTGCAAAATTTTTCATAATATGTATACGTATGTAATTTTTTGTACTTTAGGGTTAAATTGAAATTTACAAAGTGCTCGTGACCATGAATTCAGTGAAAAAAGAATTTTTCTTTAATATCAAATTAAATTTATATCATTAACATTTTTTATTTTTTTTTTTTTAAATTTAGATTATGTATTTTTTTAGATTATAATTAACTTTTTTTTCTTTGAGGTATATAAATTTAAAAATTGTTTAAATACTACTAAATTTTTTATAAATTACTAGTTATATATTATTCATATTATTATTACATATTATTATCATACTACTACAACTACTATTGAGTGAATGACTATATATATACATATACATATAATTTAAATTTTATATTAAAACAATTTTAAATTTCATTTATGATATATATTTTAGGTTAAAAATATTTGCTTATAAAGGTTATTATTAAGCTTGGAATATTTGATTTTATAGAATATTATTAAAAATGATATAATATTTATCAATATTTTCGCAGTATTTCTGTGCTTTTATTTTGAATATGAATTTAATGAATAAATAATTAAGTAAATTATTTTTAAAATATTTATTTTCTATGATAACTATTATGAATTCAAACTGACTGAAATGTGCATTCTTAGAGAAGTTTTTTTTTTTTTTAAGCTAATGAGATATATATAATTATACATGTATATACATTATCTAAGATTGATGCAGTAATAATCGTTTTGATCAATTTCATATTCATTCATCACAGATTAATACTATAAAACCGTACTTTTTATAATATATATATATGTATAATATAAATATATATAAACATAATTTTTAAATAACATTTAGCTTAATTTTTTGTTTAATAAGTGTACAATCTTTAAAGTATATGTTAATCTTTAAATTAGTTGTAATATTTATTATTATTTTATTTTATAAATATATATATATATTATTTTAAGAATTTTTTATGTTAATTTCAATTTCAGTATAATAATAATATTTATTATAACATTTTGTCGTATACAATATTTAAAATTCATAAGAATATAGTTGAATTATTTATTAATAATATATAACTTTTAACATATTTATATATTTTTGTTAAAGTTGAGTATTTAAAATAATTAAAATCTACTTTTTTTTATACTTCCATAGTCAGATTTTGCTTATAATATATGTATATATTGTACAATAAACAGATATATAAAATGCACTACAATATTATAGATCATATAACAATGTTTTATATATAGTTATTATAATTGAGTTATAATAATATAGATAAAGTCTTTAATAAAATTTAAACTTTTAGGTATATATTATATTGACTTAGTATACTTTTGTATTGTATCGTTTCGTTTTTAGAATATGAGCTTTTTCGATTATATAGTAACCATACATAATCACATATATATTTGATTATATTTATTATCTATTTAATTATTGATCTAACATTTGATTGTGTCAATGGTTGAGTATTGTGTTATTAAGTTAGAACCATTGTTATATACACAAGATAATACTCGATTTAAAGCCGCATTAATATAACACATACCACATAATCATTCCTAGCAATAAGGGGCTTAGCCAGGATGATTTGTTGGCTGTTAAATTTAATTTAAAATAAAATTATTATATAACATTATAAAAATATTTAAAATTATTTTATAAAATTATAAATTTGTCTTATCTGATTTTTGCCAAATATAATGTCGAAATTAAGAAAAATATGAACAAAAGTTCAACAAAATTTATTTTAAATTATACGACTTCGCATTTTATATATATTAAATATATATGTATACATTGTTAGCTATATTAATTTAATTAATATAAAGTAATAATATATTTAAAACTAGCATTATAGAAGTATATATATTGTTTTAAATTATTATTATTGTAATAGGTATATAATATCTTAAATATCTGGCTTATTAAACTATTACTTAATTGTTGGAAATCATTATTATATATATGTAATTCTATAGTTTAAAATTTATTTTATTTTAGTAACCTCATGTATTTTATTTCATGTATTGTACGAATATTAACTCTGAGTACAAGTATTTTTGATTTTAATAGTTTTATTCTATATTATCAAATGGGACGCTGCTCTGCAATAATATATATTTTATGTATATTTTTATATTTATATTTACTAGTATTTTAATGAAATGTTTAATTTGTGTGTAGTTAATTACTATTTTGTTTATTGTAATATTATTTATATTAATATTATTAATCGATAAGTATATTTTGAATTAAAAGTATATATATTATATAGTCAAAATTAATATTAAAGCTTAATTTATTTTTAATATTGGTTTGCTTCAGTTATATATTTAATTCAGTATTTTTTTTTAATTTTACAACTTATCTTAAAAAATAATTTAATATTTTAATTTGGCGTTCTGTCTTACAGTTAAATGTACAAGAAAAATTAATACAGAGAATTGTAGTCATTCCGATAAATGTATTAAAACTACTTTTTTATTATAACAATTTTTTTTTTGTGAATTATATTTATATTTTTAAAATACTGATTAAGTTAGTTGTAATTAATATATTTTCTATAATTAATATAAGTTTTCTTTTAATTATTTTACTTTTATTTTATAAATACGAATTTAGAAAAAACGTTTATTATTTCAAAAATATTTTCTCAATCGCTGGACTACGGATCGGTGTTGATCAAAGGTGTTAGCACCACGTAAAATATTTTAGCTTCGTTCTTTATGACGTTATGTTCTGGAGAAATATTGGTACCAGTTGTTGCAAAACACTTTCAAAATATTTCCACTTCACAGTGCATTTTAGACTGAGAAACCCTGATATAGATAAGATTGCACAATTTAAGATGTAGGTAGCTCTTTAAAATAGGGAAGAAAGTGAAACTTAAAGAGGTTATATATATTCAGAGTTATAGAAAATTTTGCTGCTGTTAGCGTAGAAAGTTATTTTTTTTAAATATCTTCGTTTACTATATAAGATGTGAATAATTATATATATAACCATTTTTTTTATAATTTACCGTCACTTTATTTTGAATAACTACCGGAATAAATTCTGAAATTAAAATTTATAAATAATGTGGTGTTCTCTTAGTATTATATATATTTAGATATATTTATTATTATTATTCATATGTAATCTAATTGTAGTTATGTATAAATGGTTTTAGTATAATATATATTGAATATTTATGACTATTAATGTGGGATTTAAGTCCTTTTATGCAAGCATGGAGTGCTTTTACTAATATGTAAATGTAAATGTAAATTAATTAATTATAATTATTATATAATTGTTAGATGGTAATTTATTTTTAAAAATAACAGTTTTTTAAGTAATTAATAATAATGATTGTAATACATGTTTTAAATCACATGTTAAGAGTAGGTGTTAATTTGTTATTTATAGCAAATTATGTTATTATATATGGTATATGTATTTTGAATAATGTAACTATTGTTTTAACAGGAATGATTCTGAATAAAGAAGAACTTTTTATATATTTGAAAATTAAAGCTTACATAATGTATTTACATTTCATATATCTTATATTTTATTATTAGAGTTCACTTAATAAAATATATTATATATATATATATATAATATATAATATATAATTTGTAAATATAACAATATTTTTAAAATTAAAAATAGGTTTTATTTTAAATTTTTATAATATAGTTTTAATTTTTTTAATTGTAATATAGTCGGTGTAAATTTTTATATTATATATAATTAAAAATGCAAATGTATTAGATACAGTTTTATTTTTTTTTTAATAATTATTAATTACAAGTGTTACTATTGATTTAAAAATACGTTAGTTACAGTTCATTTTATTAAATATTATTAATCAAAAATATTAGTCTATACTTAAAAATACATTTTTTTATTTTTTTAATAATTATTAATTATAAGTGTTAATATTTATTTGAAAATATATACGTATTAGTCATGATTTATTTTTATTTCTGTATTGATTATTTATTATAAACCCCAATATTATATATATAAAAATTCATTTGTGATAGTAACATTTTTTTTTAGCAATTTCGATATTATTATTTATAAGTTTTAATATTTAATTAATAGTACATTTTTTTAATAATCATTAATTAAAATTATTAATCTTTATTTAAAAATAAATATGTATGTAGTGGTAACATTTTTTTTATTTTTTCAATAATTATTAAGTATAAAGTTTAATATTTATTCAAAAATACATACGTAATAATAACAAATTTGATTTAATTTTTTGAATAGATTAATTTAACTCACTTAAATAATTAGTGAGATAATATTTTATATTAAATTTCATAAAGTTTAACTTTTCATGCATTTTTGTTATTATTATTTTTTATCAGCTTTTTTTCTATTTTTATGGGAAAACGTTAACTCTACAACTTTAAGTTTAGAAATAAAAAAACAAGAATATGTAAAATAATATTAGTAAATTTTAAATATTGAACTTTAACTCATTTAAACTTTATATGTAAAAATATTTAATTTTATAATAGATTTCAGTCAAAACAAATGAAATTGAAGTGTCAAAACTTTTATTGAATTTAAGCCAAAAGTGCATTATTATGCAGTTTTATGCATTTTCGTTGCCTGATATTAGTAATTTGTTTGAATTGTTGATTGAAGAAGTTTTTTTTTAAGTGTTGATTGATGTGATATGCTTTATTTTGCTTTCACATAAAAACTTTCTTTCTTTCTATCTTTCTCTTTGTTTTGGCTTTCATCATATTAGCGGTCTTTAGATATTGTTGACCGACTTTCTAATGTACGTTGTTGCTTGAAAAAACCTTACCTCGGCGACGATGTTTGCGTTGGTGGTGGTGGTGGTGGCGGCGGTGGTGGACGCACCACTGTTGGCGTGTCCACCACATTACTGCATTTATTTGCAGTTTGTAGGTCGAGCGCAAAAGTATTCAAAGGACTTTCATGCGACCGCATTGTCGTAGGTGGACCACGAAATATTGCATAAGGATTTCCGAAGAAATCTTGTGATGTGGCCATCATGCTGTTGATGTCGGAGTAACTGAAAGAAGGTAAATAATACATTATTATGGCAATGATAAACTTGTGAACATTATATTAATAATATAAAAATTTCATTAAAATATCAATAAATTATTAATAAAAAATAATCAATAATTAATCAAACATCAGAAAATTTTTAATATTAATGATATTAAAATTACCATAACTTCCATAACATAGATGGAAGAGGATCCTGAAATGATTAAGAGGAGAGTCCTACTCCAAAGTACTAGTACCCTAGTCTCGGGGTAGAACAATTTGTCTTGGGTTAAGTATTACAATGAGGATTATAGTCAGTGCGTAAGCAATTCCCTCAATCCCACCCCCAAAAAAAAAATTTAAATAATAAAATATAATAGAAATTTGAAATAAAATACAGATTAGTAATAATTTATATTAATTAGAATTAATTAAAAAATTATGAAATGGAAACGATTGTTCATTGCTTAAAAATAATCAATAATAAAATATATAATAAGTAATATTAAATACTCACGAATATTATATTTAAAAGTATAAATCACTGTTAATAATAAGTAAAACATTATTATTATTGGTAATTAATATTAATTAAAATATTAATATAATATTAGCCCTTATTTTTTCTTTCTGAGCAGCAAAAAAATACTCGCAACTTACGAAAGAACACAATGTAGCTACCACAATACTCTTAAAATTTCAAGTCTTAAGTTTTAGTGCAGCCAAATTCAAAAATTAGTCTATTGTGAATGTTCACATTTACTAATAAATTTAAATATCTAAATAAATAAATTAATTTAAATATATAAGATTTTAATATTCATACAAATTAATTTTATATTTCATTAATAATTGTAGACGCATACTCTAGCGGCTTGAAAAGTTATTAAATGATTTTGCTAATTTAAGTTATATCTTTATTAAAATAGCTTTTAACTCAAAGGACGTAGTTAATCATTAGCAGGTTTACATAATTAATTTTTGTTACATGCAATTTAAATTATAAACAAGCCTATAATATCACTAATGAGTTTTCTCTTTTATCTATGCGATAGTATATCCTCGTAATTTATTTACGGTGATGTATCTCATATGGCTACAAATTTTTAACAGGTTCTGTAAAATTGTGCTAAAAATTAAAAATTAAATATTCCGCCGTCCTTTAGCAAGTTAAATAATTTAATTATGTAAACTAATGACGAGACTGCACTCAACTGTCATTAACTTTGCGTTTTACATATTTTATTAAATAAATAACAGAACGTTTTATTTAGTATTGAAAATAAATTGACTTTTTGATTCGTTTTAGTTTAGATTAATTAGTATCTCCATTTTGTAATAAATAATTATAGAAACTGTATTTAAATATTTACACGCGACTATTTGAGAGAAGACTACTCCATAATTGTAGGTTATGCTAAATATTTTAATAGATTTTAATAGATAAAATGTACTATGTACAGCAAATATCAGTATTCATTTATAATCACTTAAGTGTGTGTTACACTATCTGATATATTGTATGACATGTCGACATATAAGTGTCAGACACAATTATTAGGTAGTGTGATAGCATAAGGACTATGACACTATGACCAAATATCATATTTCGTGCTCTTTTAATTTTAATTACACAAAATACCTATAATAAACATCAGCATTCAATGTAATCACTTCAGTGTGTGTTACACTATCTGATATGTTGTATGACATGTCAGATACAATTATTGAATAGTGTGATAACATATGGACTATGACACAATGACCAAATATTGTATTTCGTACTCTTTTAAATTTGCATCATAAATATGTATTTTGTTTCATTTGGTGGGAATACGTGTATATTATACTGAATAAGATTCTTAAATCTATCAGTGAGGTAATCTAATATGAGTTTTACGTAAAATTTAGTATTATATCATATATTCAACGTGCATCTATCTGTCTTAAATCCAATGGATCGCTAGGTGGCGCAGTATAGATGGTCGGCATAATGGAGCTGCAAATAAAATATCCCACTCGTTCATTAAAACAGATAACTTTCGGCTTAACAGTGTACATAATAAATATAACAAATTGAATTTTATTAAAGCTAGTTGAATTTTCTGTAACCTTTCACTTAAGTAGGATAAAGGGGAAAAAAAATACTATTCACTAACTAAATAGACAAATTCCAGATTGGAAGAAGAAAAAGCGTTACTATCATCAAGCGCACTAGCGTTACTAGGATAATGCGATCTAGCAACCTAATCACTTGAAACTTCTTGCATTGACGAATTGCTTATTGCTTCAGATAGGAGTTAAAGGAGCAGATTTATGCATATATATCTAAATATATGCTATAATATTTTGATGTTATTATCTACAGATATTTCAATAAATATATATTTGCTACTACAGTAGATACAGGTATTAGACTCTTAAATAATGTGTGGGTATTAGTTTTAAGTCATTAAATGTTAACGTAATAATGATGCTAATATAAAAGGGAAAATGTAGTGTTGAATACTTGAACTAGTTCTCTTGAATTTATGTAAATTAATTTACTAGACAACTCTACGAACATTATAAGAGCACAAGTATACTATATATAAATAATATTTTATTAAAGCAAGTTAAGTTGTCTGTCGCCTTTCAGTTATAAAAGTTACTTTGTATACAAAAGTTTTATTATTAAAATAAAAAGATTGTTTTATATAAGCTAAATAAAATAAAAGAAATATATATGAAAGTGTTGTACAAACACTTTTGAATTGTGAAATGGAATATTTGTACGAACGTTTTTAAGGCAACCACACCGACTTGTTAAAAACATTACAGAATTATAGTGTAACATAAAGAAATAATTCAATTCTATTAAGCAGACATAACGTACGGTTAACAGATGTTGTTAACATAGTCAGGTTGTTCAAGATGATCTATAGAAAAACTAGGTATGTCCATGTTTTTCCATATTTTATATAGTTAGGTTACAGTCGATAAAGATTTAAACTAGAATGGGTGGAAATAAATAACACTGCCGACCCACAAAATTTATAAATAGATTGCTCAGGAAAATAGCTGTCATGTCGGAGTCCGTATTAAAGCCACTATAATACAAATAAATAGTCTTGACAAGCTTCAGAATTTATAGAAATATATTCGAATAGACAGACTTTCATTAACAATCATAATAACATGTCTATATCAGATCTATCAGTTAGGTATTAACGAAATGTAGCCTAAACAGTGTGCTCCAAATAGATGAGTGATATATTTTTTGACAGTGTAGCCATACAAAAATCTATGAATGATTTTTGTCTCTTTTGCTACCGACATCCCTTATGTATATAGGTAGTTGTCTATAAAAACTGAATCCCTCGTTCATTTAACAAAGCCTTATAACCGTTTAGTACTAAAAAAAAGTGTTGTTATTGTGTTTAAAACGATTTATATTAATCTAATATTTTTATCTAGCTCTATGCTGTATGTAGGGCTTGATTAATGAATTCATGTACTTCATGTTATGTCAGCCAGTGCGTACATATATTAACGCACTAAACAAGTTGCATTTGAATAGGAAGTGCGTTTCTCATTGTATCTGCAGAATGTAATAAAGTAAATATATAAAACTTAAATAATATGTAAAAGTATTATTTTCTTTGTGCAGTACTTGAAAATAGGTAGACTGAAATAAGTACAGGTAAAGGTTGTGCAAAGACTGTGTACAAACGAGTACTTGCCGAAGGCACTTATAACACCTTTAAAGACCTTGATAGTTTCTACTACATGCAACGTTAACACACATTGTTTTCATTGAAATGTATATTATTTTAATTATACATATATACATATATACACTATCTTGAAAAAAATTAAACTAAATATAAACTCTAATATTTATTTTTAATATTAGTAAAATTAATGATTATTTTATGTTAGGAACAAATGTCTTTCTAATATAGTAGTCTATACATAAAAACTACATAATATCTATCTATCTATCAGTGTTAAATCAGATATTCTACAAATGCAAAGTAGAAAGTCATCCAGTTATATGTTAACACTGTTGACAGCATCAAAACAACTTTCTAGAGATCTTCAAATTGGACTGGAAAGAGTCAGCTGGTTTTTAGAGACAAAAATCAAAAATTAGGTTAATAAAAAAAAAATTGGCATAATAACTCTGACCATTTTTCCAGTCTTTATAATATTCGTGCTGTTTTTCTGATGCTCAATGTTTCTAGTAATGGAATCTCTGGCGACCACATTTACAGTGAAATGAGCGAAGTAATATATATTTAGTTCCTTAATTGGCCACACAGAAGTAAGTTTTCTTTGCCCGCATACAGTAATCTTCTTCTGTCATAAGAAGAAGATTTTTAGGGCTTGATTTTTATTTGTCGAGAAATGGCTTTATAAATAACTTGCTTACGTAGCTTAAACGCATATATATTGGCAAGACTAATTGTTTGTTGTATTTCTAGGCAGACTCATAATTGATGTTCCCAGTATAACAATGTCCTTTCAAACGTTCGTATTTACAGCTATTAACAATGACGTGGGTCTCAAGAAGCACAGATGTTATATTGTTGACGAAAATTATTTTTTATTATAGTCGGTATGAAATCATGTCTTCCATTTATTATAATGTGATAAAGTTGGGGTGTTGTTTTTTGATCAGGAGTCCGTTTTTACATCACAAATATCTCTAAAAAATGATTTAACTGCTAATATATTTTATACTATTATTACAGCTACGATAAGTTAAAATAACGAAATGAAAATTTAAAACGAATGCTTTAATGATATATATTTAAGCTTCCTAATTTAAGGATAAAATTTCCCTCAATTGTTGTTGTTAGTTTTTATATATTGTATAGTAAAAAATAAGCCATAAACTTTCCATTTTTATTGCTGAGTAAAAAATGTGATACGTATGACATGTTGAAAATGTAAATCATACGCTCTGTAGTGCATTTGTGCCTCTGTAAGTTTGTGGCTGGCGTGTGTGCTTAAAAGGCCTGTCTGCTCATGAGT